GGAGCTGAGCGGTTGTCGTCTTGTCTCTCTGCAGGCAGAAGTGAAGGTGCTGAAGGACCGGCTGGAGATCGAGAAGCAGGCCTGGGAGGCAAACTACATGAAGAAGGAGGTAATAGCAAGGGCTGCCCTTCTCCAAAGGTGCCACCCTCGGGCTCCAAGAGGGATGAAGGCAACATTTGCTATCTCTGTCCCCAGGAAGCCTGGCTGCTCTCCCGGGAGCGGGAGCTGCGGGAGGAGGTGAGGAAGGAGAGAGACAAAGAGATCGAGTTGGTGATCCAGCGCCTGGAGGCCGACATGTCCTCGGCCAAGGAGGAGTGCGAGAGGGCAGCAGAGAACAGGTAGGGGGGAGAGGGAGGAGGGAGCCTGCGAGTCCCAGCTCCTCATGGGCTGGTCCCCTTCCCCTGAGCCCTGCGCATCTCTCCAGCGAGCTCTGGACACTGTAGCTTGCGGTTGTGAGGAGCATTAGTGCAGGAAGGAGAGAGGCTCACAGGGGCAAAGTTTACCTCTCACTTGAGGAAACAGCCCTGGATCTCCGGTGGGGCAGATCTCCCCCTTGCTGCTGCGTCGTGGTCCCTCCTGCAGCACAAAGGTGGCTGGGGATGGTGCCTGCAGCGCCGGGCTGAGCCAGGCTGCCTGTCCTTTCTTCCCGTTAGGATTAAGAGGATCCGAGATAAATACGAGGTAGAGCTCCAGGAGCTGGAGAGGTCTGAGCGGAAGCTGCAGGAGCGCTGCAACGAGCTGAAGGGGCGGCTGGCAGAGCTGGAAGGGGAGAGCATTCGTCTGCAGGGCCTGCTGAAGCACAAGGAGCAGGAGGTGGAGGAGATCCGGAAGGTGGGTGAGGAGCAGAGCCTGGGGCTCTGGCTCCTCTCCTTACTCCATGTCCTGTCTGGTTCTGTCCCCCTGCGTTGCCCTGTGCCTGTCACCATCTTGATGTCACCTCTCTGCCCTGCTGCAGGTGAGGGACCAGCTGGCCCAGGAGCGGAGCAGCCTGGCAGAAGTGATCCGGCAGGAGTTTGTTGACAGGCTGGTGGGGACAGAGGAGGAAAACAAGCGGCTAAAGGCAGAGATGGCGGAGATGAGAGCCCGGCAGCGCCTGGAGCTGGACAGGATAGTGTGGGAGAAGGACAAAGAGCTGGAGGAGGTTCACAGGAGGTGAGGCTGCCTGGACTTCGCTGCCCTGGGCTGGGCTCGTAGCTGGGACTGTGGGTGCAGAGCTGGCCCGGGCTGCGTTGCAGGAGTGTGTCCGCAGTGCTGCATCCTCAGGCATGACTTCCAGTCCTGTCAAGGCAAAATGGGCAGCGGAGTCACCAGAGCTGGCTGCCTGCTCAGCCACCATGAATCCTCTGGCCCTTGTGACTCCTAGCCAGCTCTGTGTAATCCTGTCCCCAGGGCTGCTCCCTTGCATGCTTGGAGGACGCGAGGGTCGGGGCGGGCAGCTGGAGCAGCGTGAGGGCTCCTGCCAGGAGAGGCCAGTGGGCGCAGCGCC